CCAGACCAAGAAGAGCATATTGGTCATTTGGAGGTATGTGGATTCCTCCTTGGGGCAGCACGAAGACACTGAGAGGGTTTAAGGGAGCAATGATGAGGTCAAACTTTTCCTTGGTGTTATATCTGACTGCAGTGTGAAGACTAGTATGTTACATTAGGAATAAAGAGATGCCTGCCCTGCTCTAAAGTATGTGCAGATGCCAGAGAGCAAGGTCAGCATATCATGTAGACAGACCCTATCAAGTAGGTATATTTTTCCAGCTACATTTCCTAGATGGGTGAGAATTGTTGTTGGAAATCTCGGAGTCAGATGGGTCCTACTGAATGCACGCTGTGTGAACTTGTCTGGGTCATCAAATTCTCTGGAGATTTAGGAGGTGGAGATATAACCTACTGATGTCTTTGTAAGCTAGGAATCATCAGTGTGGCTAAAAATAGAAATAAAGGAGGGAGAGGGAGACAGAAGGAGGGAGAGAGAGAGAGAGACAGACAGAGAGGGAGAAACAGAGAGAATGAGAAACAGAGAACTCTGTAGCTATCCCCGAAGTCTGTATTTAAAACTGTTTCCGTGGTGGGAAATGAAGTTTGCCCTGATTTTCTGGCAAATAGTGTTGGGAACTCAATGACCCTTCTTATTCTTAGCTTTCAGTGACCTCTGGAGATAAACGTGGTCAAATAAAACTGAGGTCTCCAGCTCCAAGCCAGCCTTGCCAGGGAAGAGGTATCTTAAAAATAGCAATAAAAGTTAAGGCAAGTCTCCGGCTGCCAATTTGAGATGCATTCCCAGCATTTTTGGAGCAATGTTGGCCTGAACCATCTAACCACTCTGGCAGGGCTGCCCCATAAACAGTCCTGTGACGTCAATCTGCAGGCATGATTAGCGCCCATTTGACAAGGTTGAAGGACCACTGTGTCCTGGAGGATGGATGACGGCTTAAGCTCCTGGCTCAGCTGGAAGGGAGCAGAGAGATCTGCAGGGCAGGACCTCGCCAGGGATCTGGGTCTCAGAGCCAGAGGAGTCGACCTGGGCATGGTTAGCCCACTGGGTCTATTTGGAGGTGCTGAGTCTGAAGAAACCACATTCTTGGGTAGTTCCTGCTAGGTTTTTCTGCAAGGGTGTAAGTTCTTTCATATCCCGAGGTCCTGTAAAATTCTTTGAAGAGGTGAGTTTCCTTCCAGCCTGTGGCTGCCTCTTGTCTGCTTCTTGCTGAAACCAAAGGTAAAGTCAGCTTTTCTGGGTGTTGCCTTTCCTGATCTTTATCAACCACTGGATCGACATGGTTCTCATTAGTCCCTAATTGGCTGTGCTATTTTCCCTTGTTAAAGGCCAATTTCAGAAGGCAGTTTTAAAGAGCTCAGATGGTATGAAAATAATGTATATAACTGTATTCAGTATTAATATAACATTAATTTCCATTGGGATTATTCCAAAAATTTTACATACCAGTGTTTGGATTTGAGCAATGCATTTACTAATGCGTAATGTAACTAAAACTTCAATTAAAAAAAAAAAATCACTGATTGTTGATGACAGACTCCTAAGTCTGTTACCCTTCCTGCCCACAGCGATTTGTTACATGAATTGTGGCACATGGCACTGTCACTGGTCACCCCTGCAAGTGAGGATGAGAGGGGGACAACTGAGCCAGGAGTCTTTTTTATTATAAATGAATAGAATATATTTCTATTCATAATTATAAATAAATAATATAACATATTATAAATAATAATACATTTATTATAAATAACAATGTATTAAATATATTTTATTTTATATAAATATAAGGCAAAGACTCTCTTTTTGGCCCCTATCCCAGTCATTCTCTCCCAGAAGAAACCATTGTGTCTATTTTCTGTAGAAGTCTCCAGAAATCACAGTCACATGTTTTATCTTATTTAATTCTCACTGACTAATTTTGATGTTCAATGCGCACAAATACACACGTGTGTATTCGTTTATTCACGGTTGGGGTGAGCCAGCTGGAGTGTGTACTGTCTGTGTACTCAGCACCGTGATACGCATTTTGTTCTCTCCTCTTTATGGGTTACAGTGCTCAGGATCAGAGACGTGAAGCAGCTCCTTCAGGGTCTTACAGCTAATAAGTGACATCATCACTCCAAGTGCTCGCTTGCTTTTTAGACACTCTAGTTGTTTCATTATGAAAGATTCTCCTTATTAGAAGACTAAAGATAACTCTCAAAATTAATGTTAAGTCTAAAAGAATATAAAGGACTGGAGGGGTGAGGGTGAGATCTAGGAACGGTTCCTAAAATTATATCCCTGAGCTTAAATCCCAGCCAGCAGATGCAGGAAGCGACCAGATATCGGGTCCCCCAGTGTTTGGCTACTTAGTGGGACTGCGGGAGAACCAAGCTCCTTAAACCAGGGGAAAGGGTCTGGTTTCAGAAAGCACTTGAGCTGATGGGAATGAAGCAGAAGTTAATTCCCACCAGCCTGAGGCTTGCCTACATTTACATGAACATAGCTCCTGAGAGAAGCTGTTGCGGCACTGGCTGACTCTTTTTGATCCATATCAGCATCCCAGGAAACTTGGAGCATCTACACTTGAGTGCTCAGAAATCCTCCTGGAAAGCCAGGAGGAACTGGGAACAAGGGTGCATGTGCTCTGCCCTCTTTTGACAGAAGGGGTGTAGTTCATAAGTTACCTTCAGTCAAAGGAGAAAGAATAACTACTGTTTACTAGGTATATATCTCATAGATCAGGTGGTATGCTGAGTGCTCTTCCCTAGCCTTTCATCTCATTACACCTCAGTGAGATGGAGAAAGTTGAGGCCCATTTCATAGGTGACAGCCTTGGCCATCGGAGCATTAGGCCACTTTGTAGAGGGCATGGAACTGAAGTGGTAGAGGTGGCATCAAGATACCTGACTCCAAAGCCCATGCTTTTTGCAGATTCTGTGCCCTGAGCTTAGAAGCAAAACAGACAAAGCAGACAGCTGTCACCATGGTGGGCATAAGTCTATTAACTGCTTTGTCTTCTATGGACATTTCTAGTCTTAAAACTAACTAGCTCTTGTTTAATTAGTGTCTTAAAGTTACTCAGGGAAAACATTGGATAGACTTAGGATGAAGTTTATTTTTTAATTATGATATCTGAATTTATATTGCAATGTAAACAACCAATCATTTATCTGGTAGCTGAGGCTTATCAGAATCAGTATTTTTCAAACTATGAGTCATGGTTCATTAGTAGGTTATAAAATCAATCTAGTGAGTCATGATCAGCATTTTAAAGAATACAATAAAATAAGACAGGTGGAATAGAATTAGAATAGAATAGAATAGAATAGAATAGAATAGAATAGAATAGAATAGAATAGAATGGAAAAATATTAGTGCATTGTACACAACAAGAGTAAGTATCTTTTGGGTAATTTTCATTTCAGTGACATATATTTATATGTGTATTAATTTAAAATGTATTTTTTACTACTGTAGGTCACAGTTTTTAAAAAGTTAGCTTTGGAAAGAGAAATGTGAACAGATGTACAATTCATTAAATCGCATACTGGTTTTTTTTCCTGTGGATAGCTTGTCCTGTAGTCCCTCAGAGCACCATTAGCCCATTGGCCTAGGAATATTTCAAGTAGAGCTTTCTGGACATATCTATATGCTAATATTTCCCCAGATCCTTGATTAGATGGATGTGCCTGTTAGATTCAGAACATGTTATGGACACTCAGGGAGGGCAAAGTGACATTTTCAAAAGCTGTGGTGAGTTAGTAGCAGAGGTGGGACCAGAATTCGATTATTTATGGATTCCTTCCAGACTGGAAAAAAGCAGGGCGAGCAATGGCTCTCATAACTGAGGTCAGTGAACATCTGTTCCTTCATAGATGGAGCTAGAGAACAAGAGAAACAGAAGGGATCAGGCTAGACCTGGGGAAGGATTTCCCTGTGGTAAAGGAGTGGGCGTGTGTATGTAACACCCCTCCTCAGAGGTCTTGAGAAGAAAGAGTAGGCTCAATTCCCTTCTGCTATGGGGTCCTTTGGTGGGGGTGGCGGTGCGGGTGCAGCAGGAGGGTGGGGGCCTCAGTTTTTTCCCATCTCAGGATGTCCTTATTCCGTTAGCCACGCTCTCACTCTCTCCTATTAGCAAGCATAATTGGAGCTGGCCGTGTTTCTGTCCTCAGCCACGGATGGATGTGATGAATGCCGTGGTGTTTTGCTGGGCTGCAGTTAGCTTTGCTTTTCATTCGAATGTCAAACCAAGTCTGCAACAGCTGTGATCAGCTGTTGGGAGAAGAGGAGTTGAGTGGGGAGGGGGCAGCTCCTGGCCTCCTGCCCAGCTGTAGTCTAATGCTTAGTGTCCACCTCTCAGTTTATCTCTTTCTCTTGCTGACTCCATCGCTGGGCTTTTTTTTTCTTCTATCTTTCTATGGGCATCTCTTTTCAGGTTTGTTTTTTTTTTCTCTCTTCATCTCTCCTTGGGCAATTAGAAGTCACCACTCTTTGACATGAATCTCTCAGAACAGCTGGTGCATTCAGGGTAGGGGAAACTACAGAGAGCACCCACTTCTGAATCCCCCACCTCCAACCTGCTACTGGTAATAAGGTGCTCTATGGAGATAGGAGAAAAGCCTGAATTCAGCCAGACTTAGATTCTTGCCTTGACTCCACCTCTTGTTGGCTCTGAGACCTTGGCCAAGTACTTGCAAGGTAGATTCACTCTTCTGGGGCCCTCTCATAATTCCTGAGCTCCTCTGGAAGGAGAATCCAGACACCAGAGGAAGCTTTTGGGCATGTTGGAGAGAGAATAGGAAAAAGATTTCTAGTCTGACATTGGCTTTTTGGACATTGGTATTTTTATTCCATAGACACTTGCTGGTTGGGTCATAGATTTCTCTCTATACCCCCTATTTCCCAAGTTGGAGAGCCAAGGGCTTGCCTGCTGCTTTGGCCCCTGAGGTTCCCCCTAGAGTAGTACCCCCCTTCCTTCATCTCTTCTCAATTTTAACACCACATTGCTCTTTGGACAGGTTTAAGGATTACCGAGAGCCGCCATGGGCCCCGAACCCATATGAGTTTTCCAAACAGTACTGGTCTGTTCTGTCTGCTCGTCTGGCTTTTGTCATAATCTTCCAGGTGAGTCATTCAAATAAGGAATTGCCTATTAGAATTCAAGCTTCAAGTATAAAGACAGCCATGTCTTCTTGCCTGCCCCTCATCTCTCGGCTTTCATGGCACAGTGCGGCACAAGGGGGCTTCACACATGATTGCTCCCTGTCCTGGGCTTCCACAAATTGATGGATTTGCAAAAAGAGACTGAAACACAGAGTAAGGTTACAAGACAGATGTGGAGTAAGTTGCAGGGTGGAGATAGATTCCCGTTTCAACCTAAGACAACGAAAGGAAGTGGGAAGAGTAGTGGAAACCAGAGTCTCAACTCTCATGCCAACAAACAGCCCCACCTGAACCTTTCTTCTGGATTTCTCGGCTGGCTCCCTCCTTTGTTAGTGTTGTTTTTAGCCCCTGAGACATCTGGTGAGAAGGGCCGCCAGAGCCATCCCGCCATCCCTGAATGAATAGCAAACTTGAACCCAGTGATTCCTATCTCTGACAATAGCAGCAGCTCCAATTGCACCGCTGAGGTTCTCTGAGCACGAGGCCCCCCTTCCCATTTGGGGTACTGCCGGTCTTCAGGCAAGGCTAGAGCGCAAGCCCAGATCCTTTTCTCATCAGCTCCCTCAGGCTTTTGTATTCCCTGAAGGCAGATCTCTGGAGGGCTCTAAAATATCCTGCCCCCGACCCCAGCCCAGGAAGTGGAGAAGCCCACTGGCTAGTCTTTCACCTAAAAAAGACAGCTATTCTTCCTCTGGAGAGATGGGGCGATATATTTGAAAAATTGCTCAGACATCACCCTGTTGTCCCGCCTGTGGTTGTCGCCTCACTTTGCCATATGTCATATGTAACATTCGCTCATGCTGTAAGGAGTTGGTGTAAAAGAAGAGCGTGTATGACTCGAAGCAACTCTGGATTGCCTAAGGCAGCCAGGGGCCTCTGGAAGCAGCAGCTGGTTCTCAGATTCTCCCCCTAGGCTCCTAGTAGCAAACAGGGTTCAAGGCCAAGCTGGGAACATGCTTAGAGCATGGAAGACAGCAGTGCCCTTACTTCATTCTGGGCCTTGTCACTGTCCTCTGTATCTCAGAGAGAAGACACATTAGCATCTAATTGTTAGGCACAGAACACACAGTTGGAGGAGTGTATGGGGTAAGGCATAGTTGAAGGTAGCTTGCGAGATGGATAGGAACCACATTATCAAAGTAGCAAACACTTGTTTGGCCATGATGGCACTGTTATAACATATTCAACCACTGGAACAGAAAATACCTCCAGGGAAACACAGTCTTATCCTACCTGCATTTACAGTGGAGGGGATGTGGCTTAGCAGACAGAAGGATGAAGCAAATTACAAATGGGCACAAAAGAGGCAAGGGGTCAGTGGTGATTTAATTATTTACTTACTTACTTAATTAATTAATTAAAAAATGAGAGGCAGGAGGTCCCAGACAGACCAATGTGACTAGAGTGGCCAGAATGGAATGGAGAACAGGATGCAGTGAATGTGAGTAGTGGGTAGGGTCTGCTGGGGCCAACATTCAGTGCAGAAACCAAAGGTCCATCCCTGATCTGGAGGATAGAGGGTCAGATGCAAGAAAGAGAGAAGAAACTGGCCCAGGGAAAGTCCTGGAGAGGCCACTGGGCCTCATGGCCACTTCCCAGGAGCTCTGGAGCAGGGTGCCTGGAGGCCTTGCAGCCAAGAAGCCAGAGCAGGACATGTGAGATGGGCTGGAGGAGAGACAGAAGCATTGGCTGACACTTATGGAGTCCCGCTGTGTGCGAGGTATTGATTCATTTAATCCTCAGGCAACTCCAGGAGGTAGGTACTGTTACTATTCCACTTTCTACAGGGGGACACCAAGGGACAATTATGTTCAATGACTAAGATCACACACTAGTAAGTAGTGGAGCCAGAATAACACAGAGGTGTCTAGTCCCAGGCCTGTGCTCTTCACTGCTGCATGCTACCACCGGCCCTGCTGCTGAGATGGTCACTCTGATGGGCAAGGGTAGACAATGGTACACTAGTGTTCCCAGGCTCAACCTCCCCTCTCAACCCGTCTCTTGCCTTCAACAGAACCTTGTGATGTTCCTGAGTGTCCTTGTCGACTGGATGATCCCAGATATCCCCACGGACATCAGCGACCAGATCAAAAAGGAGAAGAGCTTGTTGGTGGACTTCTTCCTGAAAGAGGAACATGAGAAGCTCAAGCTGATGGATGAGCCAGCCCCCAGCAGCCAGGGAGGAGGACACCAGAGCAGGAGAAGCCGGGCAGCCAGCTCAGCACCCTCCAGCCGCAGCCAGCCTGGCAGCATCGCATCCTCTGGTTCTCAGCACACCAGTGTGTGAGCGAGCCAGCCCCACTACCGAGGGATACTGCAGCAGCAAGAGACCATGCACAGGCACCTCTGGGCATCTGCACAGCACGGTATCTGTCATCTGCCCGGATCTGGCACAAGGGGGTCTTGAAAAGGGTGTGTGTGTCTGTGAAGAGAGAGAGAAAGAATGAGCTCAGGGAGGAAGAGAAATGATGCTGCTGCTGCTTAGAAACTTCAAGCTTAAGTTTCCTTTAGGTCCTCTTTTAGCTGTAGCCTTTTGGAGGATTGGTATTACTTTGAGTTTATTGGTGAAAGAATTGAGTCTCTCTACCCCAGGATTCCCGGTCACTGAAACCAAGGGTCTTATGACTTTGAATAAATTTAGCTTTAAATCTTAACTGTAGAAATCACATCCCTCTCTCTTGATATATACATACCCTCAGAGACCTAGCTCCACCCTTGCCCCAATAATTAGCAACCCCCAAGGCAGCAGAAGACACTGGCCAGGGCCTGACTAGCAATCACAAGGACTGGACCTCTGCAGGCTAAAGATAACATCTTAACCTAAGATATGTTTCACTTCCTGAGCCCTAAGGTGGAATGACTCCCTGGCTACTCACCCATGAAACTGGACAGAGGGACACCAGAAAAGAACTCAGAACTGTCTTCAAGACCTGAAGAAATGATTCATTACCCTACCTCACCTCTGACCAATCAGCTCCTGGCATGACCCTGAACCCCTAACCCACATGTCTGGTGATTTTGCCTGAGATGATCTAACTTACACTCTTATCAGAGAGCTGGAGTTTTTTTTAGAGCCTAAACTCCCCACCTCTGTTTGACCAATTCAATATTACACTATTTTTTTCTTTCTATACTGCAAAGTTCTGTTCATGTACTTCTTTGGGCCAGTGATGCAGGCAGAGAGACTCAAGGAAAAACATTGGGGTTCCGGTAACATCACCATGAGCCTTCCCTACATCTCCTCAGGAACACTCTAATGTCAGATGGCTGCAAATTGTAACGGAAGCATGGTCAGCTCCCTGTTTTAGCGCCCATCGTGAGTGATGATCACCCCCTTCCACCATTAGCCCGAGGAAATCCTGAGTCACTTGCAGCTGGGGCTGTCAGAGCTTCAGTGGATGCAAATGAGGTACAAGGCTGATTACGGTGGCCACTGGACCTGATGGTGAGCCGCAGGGTTTCAAACCAAGGCTTGTCTTCAGTTCATGTCGCAGGGATGCTTTGAGTTAAATGCAACTAACCATCAGTTTGTGCAGATTCAGATTTAAAATAATAAAATAAATTAAAACATTCTTTATAAAGATGCTTCTCCTCGTCTTTTGTTTTCCCTCTCCCCTCCTTCACGCCCCCAACCAATATTTATTGAGCACTTACTATGTGCCAGGAATTGTTCTCAGGCTAGAGATACGTGAGACAAAAATCCCTGCCTCATGGAGTTTATGTCCTGGGGAAGACAGACAATAAGCTGATGAATGCATAGTAATAAAAGCTATGGAGAAACAACAGGGATAAGAGATACAGGAATTGTGAGGACAACACAGGAGGTGAGGAACTTAACAAGTTATATACGAATTCATTTCAAACCCAAGGTAATTACGAGCTTATATCTTGCAATGCTAACATCATTGGTTGGTACCAGCCTCCCAGAGCTCTGTGGTGAGAAGACTTTCAAATAAACTTAAAACCAATGGCCAAACATCATTCATCATTACCTTTCACACATCTCAATCCCACCTGCTGCCCAGAAACCAGCTGCGCAGTCCTCTTCCTCTGGACCTGGCCCCAGTTCTACAGGTCGATCTGACTAGAGCCTAACTCAATACCTGAATGGCAGCAGTAAAGAGGCCCATGCTCCGGGGGAGAAATGAGCATTGTCCTGCTATTTCAACACATCCTGTGATGCAAGGGCCTGTGGGTCCATAAGCTGGTCATCATTGCCGCTCCCCATGGCTTGTTTTCCCCCGGCCACATGCAGGATCGCACTGCTGCCAACCCTTGCCCTGGAAAGTGGGCCCTTCTTTTAAAGGGACACCAGAGCACAGATACAGCTGTTAGTAAGAGCAGCAGGCACTCATGTCCCCCGTCACTCGTACATAAGAAATCCCACAATAAATTTCAATTACTTCACACCTTAATGTTCAACCTGGTCATGTGAGCCTAGAGTCAAACCACAGTAGTATAAAAACATTGCATCACCTTACAACAGGCTTCCATTAATCTGGGGAGTGGCCAGCAGGAGGAAAATTTCACTTCAAGGGGCATTAATGTCATGGAGATTCCAGGCCCATAAAAAGGAGGTTTTGCCCCCCAGTGATTCCTACCAGTGTGGGCAGGATTGATGGTCCACAGTCAGGAGGTGGCCCCACCACCTGGGCACCCACTTTGCAGTGAACAAACCACACTTAAGCCCATTGGTTGCCCATGGCTGGTTCAAGACCCCATCGTGACTTTTTCTTTCTCCTGCCTTGATGCTAATAGGATTTTGAAATTTATTCTTGTAGTTAAAGAATATCTCTGGAATATGTCTTGATAGAAGTGTCTTTTATTTGCTATACCTGAAATGGGAGAATTACATTCAGTCTGTCTATTCACTTCTGGGAAGTGTTCTTTCAATACAGGAATGGATTCCAGTGTATCCATTCCAACTGTCTTGGTTACTTTAAGAAACCACAAATTTTAGATTGGTTTTCCAGTTTTTGAAATCTTCATGTCCACCTCTTCCTTTTCAGCATTTTATTTCTACCCTTCAGGATCATGCCCATTCCAAAATAACCCTCCCACCAGAATCAATCCATCTATAGCAGGTCCTCAAATAATATCATTTCATTCAATGTCATTTGGTTATGTTGATGAGAGGGAAAAAAATGATTCTCACCTGGGGCCACTGTCTGTGTGGAGTTTGTATGTTATGGCCCTGACTGTGGATTTTCTCCAGGGATTCTGCTTTCCTCCCACATTTCAAAGATGTGCTTGTTAGGTTAGTTGATGTGTCTAAATTGTCCCAGTTTGGGTGAGTGGGAGTGTGTGTGTGAGTGACCCCATAATGGAAGGGCCTCCTTCTAGGGTGGGTGCCTGCCTTGTGCCCTGAGCTGCTGAAATAGGCTGTGGCCACCTGTACCCCTGAACTGGAATGAGTGGGTTGGAAAAGAATGATCTTACTTGTTTTTATTAATCTTTCTTAAATTTATGTATAACTGACATTTACTTTAAATGTTTAATATTGAAAATACGTGGGTCTTTGTTTAGAAGTTTGGTGATTTTTTTTTTTTGACTAGAAATATTCCAAAAGAGCTTAACTCTTATTTATATCAATTAGCTTATGGTAAAATTGGTTTCATCATATGTATGTCATTTCACTTAAAGTCACGCTTTCCAAAAACTATTGAAGTGAAGGCTTACTCTATAGTCTCCAATAGATTATTCCAGCAGTCTCTAAGCTCTCACTTATATGAATCCTTCATGGATAATCTAGAAAAGAGGTGATTTCCCCTAACTTCTCATAACCCTACTCTTTTGAACTTCCTGTGCCACTGCTGGCCTTACCTTTCTTTATCTGAAGTATGTATTTACCCAGGTACATGCCTTGCTAGTAAATGAAGAGGTTGGCAGGCACTAACTTCCATTCCTGCCCTGACAAGTGCAATTCTACAGGTTCACCACAGCATGACAAAAACGAAGAGTATGGGTGTGTGTTGATGGCTCAGTATTATCTTTCACATTGCCATTCTGCTCATCTTTCACAACTCAGGCCCTGAGGATCTGTGTCTGTGGTGTCCTAACTCAATTCTGTCCATATAAGCGTTGTCGTAATTTCCACATTTGCCCCCATCCCCAGTGATATCTGATCTGCTCCGCCACAGTAGAGGGAGCCAGGGAGCAGAAGTCCCCTCCCCCTCCCCCTTCGAGGCTAAGCCACATTATGGAAAACAAAGCAGAAGCTTCCTCAAAGTGCCTATTTGCATATCAGGTTAGCCTCCTGCCCCACGTCCCCTTCTTCCCTGTTCTGCACAGCAGTGAATGGCAGCGCCCCCAGAATGCTATCCCCTCAGACCACGTTCTCACCAGAACTCTCACCCAGTCACAGTGGAACCCACTTATTCTTCTGACCTCCCCATGTCTTATGCAGCTTTATCTGCAGAAAGGACGTGGAGGGCAAAAGTCCAATGGAAATTAGAAAACACAGTTCTCCATATGAGTTTGGGAGACTTTGTGTTTTATTGCCCCACCTTTTGCTCACTTCCCATTGGCCTAACAGAGCAAGGAGTGGAGGACCAAGGCATCCAAGCCAGGATATCTTCCTCAATTAAGAGAATGAAGCCACACACCCTAAGGAATGGAGGCAGGTGTTTGACATGGATCCCACATCATAACCTGCTCCTAGTTTTCTGCCAGCATGATGGACTCTGGTTGGTCTGCCTGTAATTCTTCAGAAAGTATATGTCAACTTCTATCGAGAACCACATCTGCTTGGTCTGAGCAAGGCCGCTAGCTGAGAAACAGGTGAGGCTGCTAAAACAGGCCTCTTCAACCCTTCTCCATGGGCCTCATTCCTGCTACATTCTCAGGAATTTTTCTCTGTCTGCCTTATCAGCTTCAAACCTGGTTTTCTTAACTGCCAACCCCTAACTTCACAGCGCTCCACCTGTCTCCTTTGATTTTTTTTCCTTGCCTAGATTTATGGCCCGCTGTTTTATCTCCTTATCATGCTGCAGGGGCTGGGTTCCTGAAGGTCTCCAAACTCTTTCAGCCTCACCACATGTGCCAAATCCAGCCCTTACCTAGGAACTCCAAGATATTTGTAGTAAACCAGGTTCACCAGCCTAGACCCCGCTTCCACACAGGGACCATCTTCTCTGGGGCCCTGGTGGTCTCTCCTGCCACATTAATCCACTCTGATAAATACCTACTTTGAACTATGAGTTTAGAGTCTCAAAGAATCAAGAAAACTCAGTTTGTTTTCTACCCTCCAAACCAAGCTGAATCAAAGGGTTTGACTCCCAGGCAGCA